CCATCCTGAATGTAGGCGCCATCTTGGGTGTAGGCGCCATCCTGGGTGTACGTGCCATCCTGGGTGTACGCGCCATCCTGGGTGTAGGCGCCATCCTGGGTGTAGGCGCCATCCTGGGTGTATGTGCCATCCTGGGTGTATGCACCATCCTGGGTGTATGTGCCATCCTGGGTGTATGTGCCATCCTGGGTGTAGGCGCCATCCTGGTTGTATGTACCATCCTGGGTGTATGTGCCATCCTGGGTGTACATGCTGCCCTGGGTGTAGGCGCCATCCTGGGCGTACGTGCCATCCTGGGTGTACGCGCCATCTTGGGTGTAGACACAGGATGCCCCAGGAGGGGGGTTCTATAGGGAGAAACTGACGCTCGCCCAAGGTCACACAGCAAGTGAGTGGCAGAGAGGATTTAAGCCCCCAGAGCCGGGATTTGAACCCAGCCCATGAGCTGCAGAGTCCACTCTGGTTGCCCCTCTGCTCTGCTGGATGAGACAAATGCAGTTGGAGGAAATGGTTTGAAGAGAGGAATGTGCTTGGAAGGCATGGAGAGGAGGCGGGCAGCTTGCTGGCATATAAGGACACGGAGAGTCAGGGGTGATGAGATGCGGCCAATATAGCCTATATCTAAATTATTAAATTGGAAAAGTAACCTGTACCCAGTCGGCACAGGCCTTGGAGGTTGAGTCGGGAGCTGGGACTTGGTCCGAAGGGTGTGGGAAGCCCCTGGGGGCTTGGAGAACAGAGGCGACTGAATCCACAGGTGCCTTTCATAAATCCTCTTGGGGCTGCAGTTTGGAAAATGGATGGATTTGGAGGCAGTGAGGCCAGGGAGGAGGCCACTGTGGAGGCCACTGTGGGGACTTGGGTGTGGGGTGGCATTCATTTACAGAATGTGCCTGGCAGAGTGACAGATATCAAGTTTCCAGGGGCTGCCGTAACAAATGACCACAAACTGGGGTGGGAGGGGTGGTTAAACCAACAGAAATGAATTATCTCGCAATTCTGGGGCCAGAAGTTCAGCATCAGTTTCACTGGACTGCGATCAAGGGGTCAGCAGAGTCTCACCCCCTCTCCAGAGGTTCCTTCCTTGCCAGTCCCTCTTCCGGTGGCTGCTGGCAGTCATGGTCATTCCTTGGTCTGTCGATGCTATCTCTGCCTCCATCTTCACATGACTTCCTTTTGTGCGTGCGTGTGTGCATGCATGTGTGCATATGCGTGCATGTGTGTTCGTGCGCTTGTGTGTTCGTGTGTGTGTGTGTATGTGTGCATGTGCATAATCACCCTCTGCTCTCCTCAGACACTTGTGACTGGATTTAGGGCCCACCCGGGTAATGCAGGATTGTCTCCCCATGTAAACATCCTTAATCATGTCTGCAAAGACCCTTTTTCCTTTTGGATTTAGGATTCCAGAGAGTAGGGCCTGGTGTCTTTGGGGACTTTTATTTAGCCAACCGTATATGCATGAGGAGACACAGGAGACTAGAGGCCCTCCCTTGAGGGCATCACTCTCAGGTTACATTTGATGGTGGATTTCTATTCAGACACCGAGCAAGGGTGATGGTGGGGGACATAGAAGTGAGGGGTGGGGGGTGACGCCTGCCCTGGCCTGGGAGGGCTGACATTAAGGAAGCACCTCCCACCTGAGGACGCTGATTGAGTTTTGGGGAATGGTCTATCTGGCACACCTGAAGGAGCAGGCATTCGGCAGAGGGCAAAGCCTGGGCAAAGGCCTGGAGGTGACGGTGCCCACTGTCATCAAAGCAGCTTCCGTAGTTTTGTGCAGTTCTGTGAGTCGAGTCTAGATTAAGCTGGAGCTTGGACGATGTGCCCTCACTCTGCACGGAGACTGTCGTCTTTAAACTGAAAAAGTAACATGTATGTGGTAAAAAAATAAAATAAAATAAAGTACATATATATATATGTATATATATATATATATATACACACATATATATATATAGAACCAGTGCAGAATATACAATAGGAAGAAAGCTCTCTCAGATTTTCCACCTCTTCTTCTCTCCAAAGGCAGCTTTCATAATGGTTTTTTGTGTTACCTTGTATATCCTTCCAAAAAGTTCCAAAAAAGCCTATGCAAACATATACATATTATACCTGCATGCGTTTTTAAAAACGGATCGGGCAGAGCCGATGTGCTGTTCTGCACTGTGGCTTTCTTCATGAGCCACCACATCCGGGCAATCCTTCATGTATGGCACATTGAGTCTTATTTCATTTTCTGCCAACACCTTAGGGACAGCTTTTCATGGCTGTTTACTATTCCATTCTGCAGATATGCCCTTTGTACTTGGCCATCACAAGGGGGCTAGATTTTGAATATGTTGGGGGAGGACAAGGGGGTACATAAGTAGGTTTTAGATGAAAGGAATAGTTTAGGCAAAGGCCAGGAGGTAGCGCAAGCCAGGGTGTTTTTCCCCCATTAATCTGTCTTGTCTCTAACTCTGTGTGTGTGTGCATGAATGCACGCAACCTGCTCACAACATGTCCCATTTTCATAGAAGCAGAATAGTGTTGCTGGTGTGGATGGGGTCTGGTGTCAGGGGACCCAGGGCAGTTTGCCTGGTGGCTTAAATTTTCTGTCTCACCTCTAAAATATTGATCTCATTGGTCACTCACTCATATTCCTATATGTTAGAGTACCCTATATATATATATATATTTTTTTTTTTTTTTTGAGACAGAGTCTTATTCTATTGCCCAGGCTCAAGTGTCATGGCTCGATCATGGCTCACTGCAGCCTCCACCTCCCAGGATCAAGCCATCCTCCTGCCTCAGCCTCCCAAATAGTGGGGACTGCAGGAGCGCATGACCATGCCTGTCTAATTTTTGTATTTTTTTTCTTTTTTAGTAGAGAAGGGGTTTCACTATGTTGGCCAGGCTGGTCTCAAACTTCTGAGCTCAAGTGATTCACCCACCTTGACTTCTGAAAGTGCTGGGATTATGGGTGTGTGTGCCACAGTGCCTGGCCCCTATATCTTATTTTTAAACTTTTTATTAAAACGTAATACTTCAAAGTACGTAAATCCTAAATGTTCAGCTCCATGAATTCCCACAAAGTAAACACACCAGGTAACCAGCGCCCAGACCAAGAAACAGAACAGGGCCAGCCCCCAGAGTCCCCATGTTCCCAGCCAGTCACCGCCCATCAAGACCCTGACTTCTCGCACCAGACATCAGCCTGGCCTGTTTTGAGCTATAAATCCAGGTGGAATCCCACTGTGGTGTTCTCTTTGATCTGGGTTTTTCCCCTTTATTATTTTGTTTGTGGGACGTATTGAAGTTGTTGCATGGATTTAATCATTCTGTGTATAATTTGTAAATTCTCAAAGCTCTATATAAACATGGATTATAAGCAATCCACACATATGTGCATATACATATGTACATACAGACATATATGTGTGCATGTATATACACATAGGTACCAGATATATTATGTATTATATATCATCTCTCTCTCACCCAGGGTAGATGCTTAAGTAGATGTTCTCCAGCACAGGTACCAAGATTGGCTTATCCTTTCCTTCGGGCTTTCCTTCATGCACTGTTATAAAGAGAAACACGGTGTCTTCTGACCCTCTGGGCCGCCCTCTGAGGCTGGCTCTGCCTGTTGGCTGTTTCTCACGCAAGGAAACGCAGGCTCATAGAGGCCGGCACACTTCCCGGGTGCACAGCTCCTGGCGGCGCCAGGACTCGAACGCGGGCCCCAGAGCCACTGACGCCGCTCTCTCCCCGCAGGCCGAGGAAGCAGGCGCGCCCGGCGGCCCCCGGCAGCCCCGAGCGGACCGTTGCCCGCCGCCCCCACGAACGCTGCCCCCTGGCGCTTGCCAGGCCGCGCGCTGCCAGGCAGACTCCCAGTGTCCGCGGCACCGGCGCTGCTGCTACAACGGATGCGCCTACGCCTGCCTGGAAGCCGTGCCGCCCCCGCCAGGTAGGTCCTGGACCCGAGGGAGGCGGGGTGGGGAAACCAACCGGTAAACCGAACTGTCTGGGGTAGGGGAGAGCCTGACTCGGGGGAGGGCTTAAAAAGGAGCTGGGCTTAAAGCGGGGCCACCTAGGCAGGACTCTGGCGCCTAGACTGCGCGCCTGTGAGCTGGGAGGGGCCCTCCCGGAGCAGAGGTAGCGCTGCTGTGCACCTGCTGTGTGTCCCAGTGCCCCTGGGGACCTGCTTGGTGGGAGACGCCCTTCCAGAGAAAATGTCACCTCCTATGAAAATGGGGTGGGGTCCAAAGCCTAGTGATGCACAATTTACGTATATTAACCTGCATATGTACTCCTGAACCTAAAATGTAAGTTTAAAAAACAAAAAACGAAGAAAATTTAACCACTGGAGAAAAATAAAATACAATTAAATTTAAAAAAAGAAAAGAAAATGGGGTGGGGACAGGGACCCCAGCTGCCTCCAGGGAGCTACAGTCCGGCAGACACCCATTCCTGGGAAATTGCCCCCCTGGTAGGAGAATGGGAGTGCAGTGGGATTTCTCATTTAAAAGATCCATATTTGAGGCTTTTCTTTAAAATGTTGGACTTCACTCTCTGGGCTGCCACCAACTGGAACCTCAGGTGCCCCGAATGAGGAGGTTTCCTCTAGCTTCCTACTCACCTGGCCGCTGCACTTCTCATGCCTGGCCCTGGGGTAGTTGAGGTGGAGACTGGATGCTTAGCAATCCACATGGGGTGTGCCACAGAGAGGCGCGGGGGCGTGGCTTCAGATCCACCAGCCAGCTGTCACTTTCTTTTTTTTTTTTTTTTTTTGAGACGGAGTTTCACTTATGTTACCCAGGCTGGAGTGCAATGGCACGATCTCGGCTCACCGCAACCTCCGCCTCCTGGGTTCAGGCAATTCTCCTGCCTCAGCCTCCTGAGTAGCTGCCAGCTGTCACTTTCTTGAGTCTCCTCTCCTGTGCAATGGGGCGGATCACCTGAGGTCAGGAGTTCGAGACCAGCCTGGGCCACATGGTGAAACCCTGTCTCTACTAAAAATTCAAAAATTAGCCGGACATGATGGCAGGAGCCTGTAATCTCAGCTACTGGAGAGACGGAGGCTCGAGAATCACTTGAATCCAGGAGGTGGAGGTTGCAGTGAGCCTGCCAGTCGGAAGTGCTCAGCACCACGTGGGGCTGGGAGCAGATCATGAGATGAGTGTTGGACCAGGACGCCACGTCTTGGGGAGAAGCATTGTTCAGGGATTCTTCCTTGGCAGGACAGAGTTTCAGATCCCTTTCAGAGAGAAGGTTTGGGCAGAGAAGGAGGCGATCCCATGAGAGACAGTAAGTGGGGGGGTGGGTGGACAGGTAGTTATTTCCTGGATGGGGCAAATGTGCCCCTAAGTGGGTAGGATTTGGGGCAAGGAAGTTTTCTCCACCCTCAGCTCTGCTCAGGGTGATTATAGCTGTTTGGAGGCCTGGGTTCCCACGGGCCTTAATTAGGGAGGGTGACTGTGAGAAGGTCGCCCAGCCCCTCCTCCCAAGGCAGAGAGGAAAGTCAGAGATGACAAGAATGACCACACTTTGTTTTCTTTGGGGTGAGGTCACAGCGATGACAAGGGACTCAGCGCACTTAATCGTGCTCATAATTACGGCCTGATACTGCTCATAAAAACAGCGACTGTTTGACTGCTGCCTCTGGGAGGACCTGGCCACTGCTCTAGGCCAGGTAGCCTCCTACTCAGCTTTCATAAGAAAAACTGAATGTCGCCCCTCACGGTGGACAAGCACATAAAGGCACATCAAAAAAGGCACATTTCCTCGGGAATGTGACCTGGCTTAGGGATTCTAGCCTTGCTTGCTGCCTAGACCAGGTGCTTTTGAGCAGTGCACAGATGATACAACTGTACATGGCATTCCTAATAGCCTTTCCATACCTCATCTCATTTCGTGCTCACACAGCTTGATGACTGTTATTAGCCCTATGCCACAGGTGAAGCCCAGAGAAGCTGAATCATTTTCTCAAGGTCACACAGCAGGCAGAGCAGCAGTTTCCCATCCAGTAGTCTGACTGCAGAGAAGTGCTTATTGCCTTGGGCCATGAGTGCGGGGATGTGGGGCTCCTGCTCTAGCACCTGTGCCCACGTGTGGGGTCCTTCGTTCCCAGGAATATCCTCCCCCAGACACCCACATGGCTCACTTCGTCGCCTCCTTCAGCGCTTTTTCCAGAGGCCACTTCGCAGGAAACATTTCCCTCTCTAAATGATAGTCCCTCCTTGGCCACTCCCTACCCTCCACCCCTGTTTACTCTTTATCCGTATCATAATCTGGAAGACTGTGTTTTTCTTGTTTGTTCATTGACTGTTCTCTCCCCACTCGAAGGTCAGCCCCACAGGGCACAGAGTTTTGTCTGTTAAACATGCCCTGCTGTCACCCCAGCGTCTAAAATGGTCTCTGGGCACATAAGCGGTAAATGCTGAATCATTCATTCACTGGCCAGCAGGAAGAGCAATCGTAAGAGTAGTAAGAACAACCACCATGATCTCTAACACCAGACTTCACGGTCTTGGCATATTGACATTGGGGGTTGGGTGATTCTCCTCGCTGGCCAGGGGAGGGGCACTGTCTTGGGTACTGCAGGGTGCTCAGCAGCCTCCCTGGCCCCTCTCCGCTAGATGGCAGGAGCAACCCTACCCCAAGTTGTAACAACCAAAAATGTCTCTAAACTTCCTAAATGCTCCCTGGAGAACAAAACCGCTATGTATTGAGAACCACTAGTCTAACTAAGAGGACGGGGAACACGTCAGGCCCTGTTCCAGGCACCTTACCACTTCATTGCCATCTGGATCTGGGTCCCTCCAAAGAAGACCCAGCGACGAGGACTTGGGAGCAGGTCATTTATTTGGGAGGTGATCCCAGGTAGTTCCAGAGAGGGCATGAAGAGCTGAGACTCCGGGGCCACCGGTCTTCAACTAGAGCGACGGGAAGTCCGGGCCAAGTTTCATGATTCCAAACATTTGTTTAGTTCTCTGCTGCTCAGAAGCCTTTGATCAACGCAAAAGAGAATATGAACAGCACATGTTACTATGTTTCCTACCTGAAAACGTTTCCTAACACATGGTGGGATGTGAGGGGAAGGGGAAGAGCCGAAAGGCTGGACACAGAGGCTGCAGAGCCGTTCCGTCCTTCTCTTTCGGAGGTTACTGACTGCTGGCTCCTTTCTCCCCTGTTGCGGCTTCCCCTGTCTTTATAATCAGCGAGTTCTCCTTTACAGAAAAAGCTAACCAGCATTTCTACCGCTCCCCATCCATGTACTTTAAAAGACGCTAGATAATTATTTTTCTATTTTCTTTATAAAGATAAATATTAGTAGTTTTAATTTTTGTCTTATTTTGGAGTCAAATGAATGCCAAGGTCACAAACAAATGTGATTCCAGAACTGTTTTTATCTCTAACAGGCTTCAAGTTTTCTGCCTAGGCATGGTGGCTTACACCGTAATCCCAGCACTTTGGGAGGCCAAAGCGGGAGGATCGTGTGAGGCCAGGAGTTCGAGGCCAGGCTGGGGAACATGGGGAGATCCCCCCCACCCCCATCTCTACAAAAAAATAATATTAGTAATAATCATAATCATTCATTTAAAAAGTTTTAAAATTATTTGTTGATACTTAAAAAACAGAAGAATTCTGCTTTTTAAAATACAGACTTATAGTCCAGGCACAGTGGCTCACTCCTGTAATCTCAGCACTTTGGGAGGTCAAGGGGGTGCAGATCTCTTGAAGTCAGGAGTTCAAGATCAGCCTGGGCAACATGGGGAAACCCCACCTTTAAAAAAATACAAAAATCAGCCAGTCACGGTGGCACACGCTTGTAATCCAGCTACTAGGGAGGCTGAGGCAGGAGAATCACTTGAATCCGGGATGCTGAGGTTGCAGTGAGCCGAGATCACACCATTGCACTCCATCCTGGGTGACAGAGCGAGACTGTCTCAAAATAAATAAATAAGTAAATAAATAAATAGAATAGAATAAGAACTGACAGAAAGAAAATCAGTCTGGGAGCATTGGAAACGGCTGGTCAGGGCTAACAGCAGCTGATTAGTCCAGGCAGGAGGCACTCTCTGCTTGGCGGCGGCCCTGCCTGATCTGCTTTCCTGTTTAATGTCATCTACGTGTCCCCTAGAAGCATTTGAGTTTTCAACTCCTGCGTTTGGAAGGCCTTCCTGTAAACTGTGTGGGTGCCTCTTTCTGCTAAAAATACATTGGCTCTACCTGGGTGATGGGATCACCCATACACCAAACTTCAGTGACAGGGAATTTATCCGGGCAACAAACCTGCATATGTACCCCTGAACCTAGAAGTTAGAAAAGCAGTGTGAGTTAGAGAGTAGGCTCTGCTGCTGCATAAAAAGACCCATAAATACAGGGCCCCGACCTGCGAGGCGTTTGCTTCTCTCTCAGAGATTAGCGCAGAGGTGACGCTGTGGCAGGCAGGTAGCTCTGCTCGCAAAGCCATCTAGCGAGCTGGCTTCCTTCCTTCTTGCCAGTCTGCAGTCTGAGTGATGTCCTTGTCCACATGGTCAGAATGGCTCCCATCCTGCAGGAAATGGAATGAGGGAGGGAGGAGAGCAGAGAGCAGGGAGGGCAAGATGCGAAGTTGCATGCTTGTTGCTGCTGACATCCTTGTAGCCAGAACCCTGCCATATGGCCACAGGTAGCTGCAAGGGAGGCAGGGAAGGCTAGTCCCCAGCTTGGTGGCCCTGTGCCCAGCCCACAGTGAAAGGTTCTATCACTAAAAGCAAGGGGTGAAAGTGTGCCGGGAACCATAGTTATTTCTCCCACGGGGAGCCTCTGTGCCCTGATCTAAAGGGGGCGCTTCCATCCCCCAATCCTGGGCATTTCTCAGGTACCTGAGGAAGGCTTTGACTTGACCCTGTGTTGTGTTAGTCCTAGACTGGCTGGTGCAGCCGAAACCTCGATGGCTTGGTGGCAATGGCTGGCTCCTGGATGGCCCTGAGGAGGTGTTGCAAGGTACCTGCCGGGTAAAGCCCAGACTCTACTTTCAAGCCTCAATCCCCGCGTCTCAGCCACTTCCAGAAAGCTGGCAGCACCAGGCTGGCTGTCCCTCATGGCGGGCCCTTCAGCCAAACACTCAACCCTCTTTGATCCTCCCCACCCCAGCATGGAAGGGCTGATGTCTGGGGGCTTAGCCAGAATCAAAGCCCAGTACAGAATAAGGGCTTTGACTCTTTGCAAGCCTGGGACCTCCTCCTGGATGGAGAATTGAAGGGGAGGGCTTTTGGGGTTCGTTTTCAAATTCCTAGAATTATAGGGGGTTCACTGCTGTCTAATGATGAGGTCTCCCTCGAAGGCGGGGGAGGTATCAGGAGGCAGAGGGCAGTTTCTGAAAGGAACAGCATGCCAGTCAGGGTCCTGGAGGCCTGCAGAGCTGAGAGCGTGGGCCCTTACACACGTGATGCTGTGCTTCTGACCTCACACCCATCTGTGTGTGACTGTGTCCGCTAGTGTGCAGCCATGTGTGCAACTGTATGGCTGTCCTTGTGGCTGTGGCTGAATGTGTGTGTGTGTGTGTGTGTGTGTGCATGCAAAGGTGTGTGACTGTGTTGTAAGTGTGTACATGGGCAGGTGAATGTGTGTGTATGTGTGTGTGGATATGTGTGTGCAGTATTTGTGTGTGGGGATGAATGTGTGTATATGCTTGTGTATATTTGTGTGTCCAACTTGCGTGTGTAAATGTGTGTATACCTGTGCAACTGTAGGGGTGAGTGTGTGTTTCAGGGTGGATAGGTGAACATGTCTATATGGATGTCACTGTGCTCGTGAGACTGTTTGGGATCAGGTGACCTTGGACTGCCTGTGTTTGTGTGTGTGTTTGTTTATGCGGGTGTGCATGTGTATCTTGTGCCTCTGAGCGAGACCCAAGGCCTAGCCTGGAACCTGGGGTAGAGAGGTGAGACGGCCTCTCTGGGCGGGGTGTGTTCCCTGCACGTGCACCGGGGGTCTGCCTGCTAGACCCCAGTGTGTGTCTCTCCCACAGCAGAGGCATGCAGCACCACGGAGGATGGGGCGGAACCACTGCTCTGTCCCTCAGGCTATGAGTGCCACATCCTGAGCCCAGGTGACATGGCTGAGGGCATCCCCAACCGTGGGCAGTGCGTCAAGCAGCGCCGGCCAGCAGGTAAGTGCGGCCCCTGCCCTGGTCCCCCTCTCCCTGTAAGCACCTCCCACTCCCATGGGCGACCTGCCCCAGGAAGCAGCCCCGGCAGCCGGGCCTGACACGAGCTCATCACATTTTCCCGCTGCCCGGCTCCTTCTCTCATGACCTCCACCCTTTCGCTGCCACACCAGCACGCAACAGAAGCTCTTGAGCCAGCGGACTGGCTGCAGACCCCACCTCCGCACCTCCCAGCTGGGCGACGCTGGGGTTAACTTCTTCCTATCTCTAAGCCTCAGTTTCCTCATGTGTAAAATGGGGCTATTTCGTGCTATTGTGGGGAGTAACTGAAATCATAAATGCAAAGCTGTCGGGGCAGCCCTAGGCAATGGTAGGTGGTCAGTCAACACTGGATGTTTTATATCTGTGTATGGATAGATGGACTCCAACTTTTGATGGCTGACTTACGATTGTTTAACTTCACACTGGTGCAAAAGCGACACGCATTCACAAAACCATACTTCAGGTTGCCATCCAGCCATGCTGCTTTTTACTTTGAGTATGGCAATCAATAGATTACACGAGACAGTCAATATTTTATCATGATATAGGCTTTGTGTTAGATGATTTTGCCCAACTCCAGGCTAATGTAAGTATTCTGAGCACATTTAAGGTAGGCTCAGCTAAGCTATGGTGTTCTGTAGGTTAGCTGTGTTCAGTGCATTTTGAGTTAAGCTGGTTTCAGCTTGCAGGGGGCTTATCAGTACTTACCTCCATTGTAAGTCAGGAAGCATCTATTTTAAAGGCGCATCTTATCTGAAAACTGCATAGAATTAGAATTGTCTGAGAATCCTTAGCTTCCCAGGACTTCTGCCAGACTCTTCAGTTGGACTTGATTTGTGTTCGTCTTTGGACACAAGGCAATAAATAGATGAGTGAATGGTGTTGTTTTCATTGGCATAATTTTCCCAAGAAAAGGAGGGACAGTGGAGCAGCGATTCCTGGTGGTATCTAAAATCATCTCCAACACCATGCAAGGCAATAAGATGAAAGGCTTCAATGTGCTTTTGGCATGGAGTTTGGGTGAAATGTGTGGTAAGCCAGGAACCTGGGCCTTCAGGGTGCTCAGGTTCACTTTATCAAAGTCAAGGTCAATCAGACTGAGACCACACCAGGTGGCCCCGTGCCCACTTCCGCATCTCACAGCCCTCCTAGCTGAGGACGGGACCCTCAGACAACGTTGGTGATGATGACAGTGACCCTGTTAGCCAAAAGTGTACTGGCGGTACATGATCGGCCGAAACCTCTTTTTTTTCTGATTTGAGAATTTATTTACCTGAAGTGTTTCAAGAGAGGCATAGACAAAAAAATTTAAAATGTTGAGAATCCTGGAATCCTGAACTTTGAAGAAATTATCTACAAAAGGCTTTGAAACAAAGAGATGGCTTTTTGGTTTCCTCAGTGTTCCACTTGATATTTGAGGGCTTTCTTTGGGGTTACGGGGTGGCTTCTCCAGCCAGATAGCCTCAGTTCCCATGGCTACTCATCCCCTTACTGCTGTGGGCAGCAAATACCATAACCTTTTCAGGCCTCATTTGCTTTATCTGTCAAATGGGTTAATAAGACTTGAGCTGCTTCACA